CATGAGTTCCTTCTGCACTTCTTTACCGCAACACATTTTTATCATGCAAAAAGCAATTTTCTAATTATGACAAGTGCTAACCGGTTATTCTTTGTTGGATACATCTTTATTCTTTTCATTACATTTGCCAGCCGACTCATAATTATCTTCTCGCACAAAGTTTCCCGCGCAGGAGCAGGTGCTAACGGAACCTAAAACGTAAAGTAAGCGTTGCACAACGTAAAAAGAATCTGTACGCGGTGTGATATTGTGCAAGAATCATGAGATGTTTTCTTTGCGCGAAAAACGGCAATAGATGGTGACGATGATGGATGTCGGAACTGTTGCGTCAGAGACAACGCGGACATAAGACGATGAAGTGCGAATGAGCCTTTTTCTTTTATATGATATGGATAGAAAGAACCCTCGATAATGCTCAGTACTTGTCTTTCAGTTTAACACTTCATGAACAGGTGATATCACACGTTGAATCATGACACTATAGGATGACGTAACTATACATTTGATCAGAAGGAAAAATCGAAAAGAAACAACGTAGATAAAAAAAAATAATACGCACAGCCCATATTTTATCTTTTCTGTACGGCAAAAATGTATGAACAATAAAAATGTCACTAATCGAAAAACAATTTGGCACCAATAAAAAGCTTCGTAATCACAAAATTGTAACTTTTAAAAGAGTTTTACAATAGTTTTTTTCTTGAAAACTTTGCATTTATCAATTATAATAAAAACAAATTAATAAATCAATATAAAACTGCATAGATTAGCGTTGAAATTTTTTTGAAAACGTAATAACGTTATTACTATGTGAAAATGAAATATTTCAGATAATTTTTAATTTTTATTTTGAAAATATCTACAAATATTCTTAGAAATGCAGTTTCTCTATTTGTGTCATTGAATTATTCTGCAATAATTATAACTAGTAATGCACTTAATGAAAGTTTGCTGTACTTTATAGTTTTCTAATAACCAACTTACTTCCATAACAAAATATACTTATATAAAATAATTATTTAATTAATAATTACATGATTTAAACCATGTAATTCAAACAAAAGTTTGAATCATTTTATTGTATTAAAGTTGTAGTTAGCATTTCTAGCATCAATATTGTTATATCTACATCATTATCAACATATTGTTTATTTAATAATATATATTGTTTAATAGTTATTATTATTTATTGTTTAATGTTTATTGTTATTTCATTTAAAAACAGAATTATAATAATTACACATTTCAGATTCTTCTCATAAAGTTAAGAGACTGATTAAAATGTATTAAAAGAAAGATTATTTATGCAAGCGAGGAAAAAGCAACAATATAATACATAAAAAGGAATAACAGTAGGAATAAGGGCACTATTTACTATAGTGGACAGTGACGATGATCGATACGCGGATAAGCGCGTTGACGAAGGCGCCAAGAAGCATAGAAAAGGAAAAGGGACAAGAAGCTTGTTCTTTGTACGAGAGAACCATGACCATGGTGGCTATATAAGGTGTATCGAGCAACAAGGACTAACGGCCTTTAATTAATAAAGTTACGAACAACTCTCAAAGTCTTCCTGCCTCCGTCCCCACCCACTAGCAGCTATTTCCTTCGCTTTAGAAATTCTGGTATTTTTCCCCACTTCCCCTCATTGCTCTTCGTACTTCGCATCTTTCATAAAGGCCTACCTGTGAAGTTGTAACCCTTTATTGGATGAGAAAGTGCCTTCCGCTTATTTTACAGAGATACTTCGCCATGAATTTTCCTTCGATAATTATGATTGTTTTTTTATTATACATATATATAATTTTTTTATAGTATTTTAAAAAATTTACTTTAGTTTATAATATTAATAATGTTTGATAAAATTAATAAATATGTAAATATAACACAAATTTATTTATATACTTTCTAAATCTAAATTAGTAGATAATTACTGATATCAATGCTAAATATTCCATTGATAATCAATGAATGAAATGTGAGATCCCTAATCTAATGTTTATTATGTGATCCTAACCTTGTTTTAATGCATAAATTCAGTAAATATAATATTAGAAAATTGAAATTAACATGCAAATATCAGTATTTTAATTATATAATGCTCAAATATTCTTCCTTTTTTAGTTGAATTTCACTAATTATCTAGTGTCAAGTATGCCACTGGGTAATTAGTGACTTCCACTGATTTAGATTTAGAGAGTATAGATGTAACAATTATCAACTTAAATTTTTTTTCAAATTTGCGTTTATCTTGCTTATATTTCTTTCCATTATGAAATTAATAAAAATCATTGTGTGAATAGAAAGAATAGCTTCGTATGAAACACGAGATAATTGTATACAAGACATGTTGTGTCACGTAGATATATTTTATAAAAAATTTATGATTGGAAAATATCTTCTTAATAAATTACATTAATGAAAGATAATGCTATCAAATCATGATTAAATATTCATGGTAAACTTTTGGCAACAGGTGTTATCGTATTTCTTCTTATTAAAAGAATATAACGACACTTTGTGTTTATAATTACATTTTTTAATATTCGAGATAAGAATGGGATTACAGCTAATAACTACAGCTATATCTGATTTTTAATTAAAAATGGATTGTGTGATTTTTGATTAATTGTATTTAAATTAGTATAAAGATTTAGTCATAAAGATTTAGAAATAGAGTGTCGTTATTCATACTAACAAAAATAAATATATTTAAAAATAAAAAACTGATTCACAATATGCTCTAACAAAAACAATTTATTTATTCTAATAACAATTATTTATTTTAAGTCCATAATAAAAATTTTGTATAAAATAAGCTCTTTAACTTTACTTGACTAAAAGTCGTAGAAAGTTAACGTTTCATCTTTTGAACACATTCAGGTATTCTAGCTTATAGAAATTTATACGTGCAGTTCAAGAAGCGGTGTACACAGAACGTGAACACACATTTTATAGTCACGTGTAGACACTCCGAATTTGTAATACATACGGATGTCGTGGCTCGCGCATATATAACACCATATATGTATACATTACCGTTATGTAAATTATATAGTATATATACACATATGTAATGCGTAAACGTTGCTCGTAATAGTGCATGTGTGTTGGACTTTTGCTACGTATATTAAGTCAGCGACATTTTCATGTGCATTACACGACGCGTACTTACATGCGGCATAATGGAAATAGATGTATAGCATATTCAACGTAATATGCATAGAGTGACGTAAGAGTCACTTCACACATGATTTATTGATCAAACGTTTCGCGTAGCATGTTAAATATATATAAATGTTTTCATTGATTTAGGACCTATCAATCTTTCTATATCATTCAACAAAAAATTATAACGAGATTTTTTGAATATAAAAAATTTCTTTTTATATAATACATGTTTTGTTTAAAATTAAAACTTAATTTTATATTTCTCCAATTACTATTTGACAAAATTAGTATATTTTTAGTTTATATTTTTAAAAATATAAACTAAAAAAAAACATATGAAAATAATATAAAACTAATTTTTTCAATTTTTGGACAATTAATTAATATTATAAATTAATATTGTAAATAAATCTATATTACATAGAAATTCTTTTAATCCGGCACATTATAATTAATCACTCGCGGAATACATATTTCCTTCTCATCGGCGCCAAGAGCGGAAAGGATTGAAGATCTTTCCAAACTATGCTACAGCTTCAGGAACTATACGGAGACGAACCCCCGGAAAAGGAAGCACCACCCGTGGATTGCCAGACTTCAAGAATTAAACCGCGTTCCCTCTGCCAACATCGTGACATCTTGCTCGTACTATGGCGCATTGGTCGCCGTACTTTTCGGGAGAATCTTCCAGCGAGTTATGGCTTGCTAAAGAAAATTGACTTGAATCTACGCCAGGATAATAAAAGCATGGCTACGAGGAAGTGGGCGAGAAAAATGAAGAAACAATTCTGACACCATAAGCGATACCGGTAAGGAAGAGGTCGTTCAAGTCTGTAAAATGGCCAGAAGGAAAATCCTTCTCGTTATATAGATTATAAATCGTGGCTGTCGGCCTTAATGTTAATAAATATCTATTAGTGAGCTTTGAAACTTCGCAATACCGATGTTATGAGCGATATTAAATATACTAGAGGTATTCTATTATTTTAAAACAGTTTGTCCATTCTATATTTGCTAAGTATGTTTGATATTTTATCTAAAAATAATTTAGTAAACAGATCTCAATATTATTATATAGATATATTATATAGATAAATTATTATATTTTATTCTCTCTCTCTGACAAATAGTTGTTACTTAATTGTTTTAATTCTGTTTTACTTATCGACGATTATTTATGTTTGATACAGAAAAATTAAATTTTTTATACTTGCGTTATGGAATGAAATTCTAATAACGTAATGATAAATAATATTGATATTGAGTTGGAGAAATAATATTAATATTGAGAGTCACGTAATATTTTTTTTATTATTGCTATTATTATGTATATTACCGATGTCATCCTACAGCAGTATCATTTTATAAATTATGTAAGTAATTTTATTGGTATTATTTATGTAATGGCACAGTGAGACAGAATATACTGATATTGATCAAGAGACTTCAAACGTTTCATTGCATTAGAAAATTAACAATAAGCAGGAGAGATTCATAAAATCTAGTACGCATTTTGCTCAATTAATGTGGACTTTACGTGCAGAAAATTATGTTATACATGATAATACATCATTATTTTTCTTTTTATGCAATTGAATGCTATTAATATTATAATAGCGTTCTTTTTCTATTGCATACGTATGCATGTTTAATATAATTAACGTATTTAGGGATGTATTAGAAACAAAATTCAACAATACTGTTATTATTATGATATTTTCTGTGGTATATAATAATCTTTTGTAAAATGTATTCCCCTATCAAGTTATCCGATATTTAAAAAATTTTTTTTGCATATAATTGCATCAAGCAATTGAATAATTTTTTACCTTATTCGGTGTCGTTGCTTGTTGCTGCGGCGAACAGCTGGTGCTGTGTATAGTCGGCTGATTGGTTGTCGCCGGCACGATGCCCTGATGATTCAGATGGCTCAGCTGATTCAACTGGGTGAGCTGCTGTGGTTGCTGCACCGGATTCTGGGTGTTGGCCTGCAGCTGTTGATGATGCGACTGGTGCGCAGGATGAGTCGTCTGATGATGCGTCGCAGGGAAGGTGGGTACCGTGAACGGGACGAACAGCATCGGGCTGCCGAGGATGTGCGCACCACCTCCACCCAATGCCCCCGTCTCCTCCCTACACCTTTTTCGTGCGTTTTTGGTTTTGGGTAACTTTCTTTACTCCATCAACCGTGTTTTTTGTTTTTTTTTTCTTAATTTCGGCTACTACGTGTATCGTTACTTTTATTATGTTACTTTTGTCAAGTATTGCCGACGACGACGACGAACAGAGTAGAAGCGTAGCAGTAGCACTAGTAGTGGTAGTAGTGGTAGTAGTAGAGGTAGAAGTAGTGGTAGTGGTACTAGTAGTGGTAGTAGTAGGGGGGTAATAATACGTGTCGAAGTGAAGCTACAATGTATGTTTAATAATTTATCATTACCTGCACTCCTGCCCCAGCCCCTGGTGCTGGGGGTGGGCGTAGGGGGCGGCTCGGACGGAGGTGGTGGACGCCACCCTCGCTACCCTCAGCGATAGACCGCCCCGCTGGCTGGTAAGCTGGACCGAAGTTGGTTGGTGATTGCTATGCACGCAGCAACAGGCACGGCAGCCGATCGACTGTTGTTGATTCGGGATAGCCTGGAGATGATGAGTTAGGGGGCCCCTGGGCCCCGTGGAGGAGGGAGAACACGGGTACACCCCAACCAGGCAACCCACCACCGCAGCCCCGGGGCCCGGTGCGCTCGGTGCCAAGGCGCCTGTGGACGAGGCCACCCCAAGCTCGCTGGCCCTCCGGCAACCACTGCACCACTGCACCCACCCTCCTTGTTGGGGGGTTTGTTGATACGTCCTGTTGACGTCGATCGTTGAGCCGGGCTGAACAACTTCAACTTGGGCTTCTTTAAATTCACGATTGCCTGCGGGTGGGATTTTGCTACTTTGTTGTTGACTTGGGGCGATTTACTCTGAACTTGCGCGTAGTGTACGCTGATTCTTGATCTGTTCCAAATCTTCTTGGATCAAGCGATAATCAACAGAGAAGGCTTGAATCGCTTCACTTCGACTTGCTTTTTAAATATGTATCACAACACCGACACTCACGTAGAAGGCTGCTTACTTTAAACGAATTAATGGAAAATTACAGTTCTTACTGCAGCCTTATGGCGAAAACAGATGAATTTTAACAAACAAATTTAACCACTGATGTGTTCTAACCACTGATGAGTTTTTTAAAATCTCTGTTAGCACCGTTGTTTACCATAAAACGACACGATCGTATCGTTGAAAACTGCCTTTTACGTTTGTCACAATTTTCTAGGAAATGTTTTGAAGAGTATACTAAATTTTATCGAATTTTGTCCTGTGGAATGTGTTTACCGCATACTCTTGGCGCAGTCGACGCTCACTTCACGGCCACGTGGTCGACTTGGGTAATCTATATTAGTAGGAGTGCCGGTATGGATCGCAAAACATCTATTTTTGTGTGTACATCACCGCAATTAAAAAAGTTTACAATATATTTTTTTGTCAAAATAATTTCTTCTTTCTTTTAAAGTGAATACTCAGGACAAATCATCGCATTAACAATAATTACGTATTAAATTATAAATAATGGGCTTCGAGACTCAATTATGTTTGTGATAATACAATTGTTGAACACGTTTCATCGCATTATATATAAAACCGGCAAACTGACGATGTCTTCCTAGTCAGCAGAGCATATGTGTTTCAATCTTAGCAATCCGTTCGAGTCTATAACGGAGGAATCTGTTTTGGAGCTCTATATTAGTTGATTCAGCAATATAAATCATAAAATGTATTCCCACTTTATGATTGAAGATACTGCAGCATGTGTATCTACTATATGTATCTTGCAACTTGCATGTTATTTGTTATTAAAACCTATTAAAATCTTCCTGATGATGACTAGACTATGGTGAACAACACTCGCAATCGCACGCGTCGCACAAAGGTTTTAGCTTACGAACGCGTTGCGGAAAAAGACACGAGGTTCGCGGTACACGCACAATTGGAAGAATGATAATCACTGATCGTTCAAATAGCACCTTTTTTTATTCTTGCTAACGCTGCTTTAAATATCTTTCATATATGACAGGTGTGGACCATAGAAATCTATTTAAACGTTATTGCCGCGCAAATGACATATGAAATAAAAAGCGGCGGTTACTTTCGATCTTTGTAAGAGAATCCACCCCCTTAATTGCGGCGACTTTCTCTATTTCCTTCACGGGTAAATCAAACAAAGCGGCCGGTCCTCGCGATCGTACAAATGAGGTTAAAGACACGACGGGTGGAAAAAGAGGGAACCTAACCCGTAATGTTGGAAGGTCGCTCGCCGACTGACTAACACTTCCGTTCAGGCTGTTGTGCGATTCAGAGTGGGGGATGCTTCGTTGGGTTGTTGTGTGTAGGGGTTGGTGGCGGTGGGTCGACTCGTTGGTTGGTTGGTTGGGGTGGTTGTGTGTGCTTCGCTCTTGCTGTGCGCGGGAAATCAGGGGCTTTCAAGCCTCCAGGATCTGTACAACCCGGCGAAATAGCGACCAGTTTCACGTGGCTCGTACTAGCTTGAGTTCAACTACTTTCACCCTGCGTCTCGTTGTTAATATCGGAAGTTTTTATAAAATCTCAACGCCGTGAATTTTAAGTAGGCAATGTGCGTCGCAAGCCCGCAAATTCCCGGAATATCAAGTTGACGTTTATTTATTTATTAATACGGAAGTTGGTTTGTTAATATGGAAGCAACGAGGGAGTGTTCATATAAAGATCATTTCTCACTTCTAGAACAATGTGTTGGAATTGGATAAATGTCGCTTGTGTTCTTAGAAATTTAATCGTGTTGCGGCAAATGAGCAAATAATCAAGAATAAAACACAAAAGAATAAAACATTTGGTGTAAGTCAATTAAACGATGAGAAGAAATCGAGATGTACGAGAGACTGCGTAGGGTATCAGGTGCGCGCTTATCCTATCAATCGAATTATCTAGAGTTTGTCGCAGCTGCTTCAAAATATCCTTTTATCTCGATACATATAAACCAGATATCAATCAGTATTTGTTATTCAATTTCTAAGGATATAAAATAAATCGGTCTTGGTATACCGGGATTCGTCATCAGATATTTAAATAAAATTTATTTATAATTTTCCAGTCTCGATTAAAATAATTCAAATGATTTTAGCGTGCTAATCAAATTAGCGTTAATTAATATTCGGATAGATAGATTTCGGATCGATAGTGTCGCTTGAAATCTCACAAATCTTTATATTCTTTGCTAGGCCATAAAAGACGTTTAGCCGTCGGACACGAACACCATTCTGCGAGATTATAATTTGCAGATTATAATTTGTTGAAGCGTATTTCTAGGAAGATTCTCACGTTACCTTGCACTAAAATAATCACTTAACATACGCACTCGGAGCACCTGTCACAATCGTCGAACTTGTCACGCACTGCCGAAAAATATCACTTTCGCGAACGTCTTTCCGTTTTCAGAACGATGTCTCTCGAACGAGCGCCGAAGAACGACGGGGGGAACGCGTACCGGTTCGTAAACGTGGTTGTTTATACGCGTGCGTCCTGATATGATGTTGTGTTTATGCGGCCGGCGATTGTAGGTATTGGCGTGACGGAGAGGGAAAAAGTGTCACAGCGCGAGTTACAAGCGATGGATAAAAAAATGATAATGGCGGATGAACAGACGGATATAAGGTGATAGTGTGACGGCGTCTCGTAGACTAGGGTATAATGGACTATGGATTTGGTGGAGCGCTGGTCCTGCACGTAGGTAGGCAGCGTGGAGACAAGAACCCTGTATCGCAATGTATCGCGGTGGTGGTGGCGACGACGGCGGCGGCAGCGGCGGCGGCGGCAGCGGTAAATGGAGGGGTGGTCCGTCAGGCTGGAGGGGCGAGTGGGTGGCAGAGGGTAGGAGTCTGGCTCGTTCCTTCCTTCGTTCGAAGTGGTAGAAGAGAGGGTAGGTCAGACGATCCCGAGACTGAGGGCGCGCAGAGCGTCGTTTCTCGTGCGGAAACAGTTACCGTTACTTCCGTTGCTGAAGTTGTCATGTATATCTTATTGTTTTTTTGTACAGCTCGATTTCTTGCTTTTCTAACGTAGCACGGATTCTGTCTTTCCAGATTGACTTATATTACTATATTTCTGTATTATCCATGTCGGAAAATGAATGATTAAATATCTATTACAATAATGAAATTTTTATTGTGTTGTCGTCTTAATTTCGAAGTCTGCTATTTTTATATTGATTACAGATAAATATGTAATAAGATATTGAAAAAATAAAAAAAATTCAGTAATAAGTACAGAAGGGGCCGGTCGTACGGGGTTGATTGTGAAAATCTCCTTTTTTTAAATTATTGATTATTGTAATATTAATTTGTCGTGTAAAAGACTTTTCATCAAAAAACATTGTGTATTATTTATAACTTTTAAGAAAATAAAGTTAATGAATAAATTTTCCTCATTTCCTATTTTGCTGTCTGATAAGTTTTTACCATTATCAGTGCGATTTCCTTGTAATTATGGAAAATAACATGTCTTAGAAAATTTTTGTTATAGTTGAATAATTATTATTCTGACAAAGTTTGTGAATACAATCTCTTTTATTAAAAACGATCATCATCATCATCATATGGAATAGGATATCCAAAACAAACCAGGATTAAACATTCTGATCTTTTTAGATCGATTTCTTTTTAGAAAAGATATTTATAAATATAATATTTTATATAGATATTATTTTTTAATTTTTCATAGAAACTATATAGAAACTGTAAGTAGTACAAAAGCTGTAGTACAAAAGCTGAAAAGCAAATTACGTATTTTATGATAAAAATAACTATACTTATATCAATATCATAATTACTATTATTTCTTAAAATATAGAACTGAAATTAATATAAAAACTATTTTTTGTATGTCTCATTGTTCATAAAAAATGTATTACTACTGGAATGTTACAATCAATATTATGTAACAATTAGCCCCACACTTTAAGAATGGAGTTAATTGTTACATTTTCGTAACTTTAATTAAAATTAAATTATTT